CTTCTAGAGCAGTAAAAGGCTGATCAAGCATACTGATTTGCTTCTGAGCAAGACTTTCACCTATATGATTCAAAAATTGGAGGAAAAAAGGCGAAGACAGCTCTTGGACATGAGGCAAACATGAAGGCAGTGGAGTGGTGGTGCTTGTGGATGGCAAATTAGATGGAATGGAAATGTTGGTGTTATTAGCACCATAAAGATCCTGGAAATGTCTCTGGATTGAAGACACTATTTGGTTAGGTGCATATAGCCACTGTCCATCCGGTGCTTGGAGTTCTGTAATCCACTTGTGACCTTTCTTCCTTGTTGCCCACTTATGAAAAAATTTAGAGTTTCTACCACCGTGTGTAGGCCATACCAACTTTGATCTTTATTGCCAATATTCCTGTTGAAGTTTTAAAGTATGTTCTAACTCCTCTCTTTTTTGAGTAAGGGATGAAAAAGCTGTTTCATCATATGTGTTCATTTCCCATTGGGACTGCAAAAGAGTCAACTGATCAGATAATTTAGCAACTAATTTTTCCAAGTTACCAAAACTATCTTTACTCCAATTGTGTAAACTGATAAGGCTTGAGTTGAGTTTATAAGAAAGCTGCTCCTATTGGTTCTGAATCTGTAAAGGAGTGTTATTCCAAGCAGTTTGTATGAAATGCTTGGATTGAGGACAACTTGACCAAAATTGTTCAAACCTTAGTTTTGGCTTGGTTTTCTGTGTTTTCTCCTTGATTTGTACTAAAATTTGAGCATGATCAGATACCATGATATGGAGGTTTCTGATGGTTGCCTTTGGGAAAGTAGCTATCCATTGCTTGTTGATAAAAGCTCTGTCCAATCTTTCATAGATTGCTTCTTCATTGTGGCGTTTGTTAGTCCAAGTATATCAATATCCAATATGCTTATGTTCTTCCAGATCATTCTGGGAAAGAAATTGCCTGATTGGACTTGTATCTTGATCCCTAACTAACCTACCACCACTCTTATCCTCATGTGCTACTACATGATTAAAATCACCTAATAAAATAGTGGGATAATGAAAAGGACTTAGTATGGCATTCAGTTGTGACCAAAATTCTGCATGACCTTGCCTACAAGGAAGGCCATACAAGAAGACTGCAAGCCAACTAAGACCTGAGGGTTCTCTAACCCTAGCAACTATTACAGTTTGGTTATGCATAAGTACTTCTAAGGAAACATCATTCATCCAAAACAAAGCTAAGCCACCAGCAGCACCTATAGAGTCTATTACAAAAGAGTGCCTAAAAGGCGTAGTTTGCTGCCATTTCAAAATATTACTATTAACTATCTTAGTTTCCATTAAAAATAAAATCTTAGATTTATAATGCTTATATAATCTACCTATACTGTGCTAAGCAGAGGTGTTGTTAATACCTCTACAGTTCCAGGAGAGGATATTCATGGGGATGAAGGCGGTTGATCTGGTTCAACCACCGCAAGACTCTTCAGTTCCTCTGGAATAGTAGAGGATGCAAAGCAACTCTTGTTTTCCCCCTTGTGCTTCTTCTTGCCTACAAATTCCTGTTGTGGCAAGTCTAATGGCCTCTTCCTGGACTTCAGTAAACCTTCATCAGCAAACAAACAATCTTCTTCAACAATCATCCTCCATGGAAACCTTTTGGGACCTTTTTTTGTTGCTGATGCTGAACCTTTAACTGTCTGAGAGTAAGAGGAGTTCCTGCTAATAGCTTTTCCTTTGATCCTGGGTTCTTGGGATTTCCTTCTAGCTTTTTGTTTCTTTTTCTCTTTTCTGACCTTCAGTGAGTCCACTTCACTGTCAGACACTACTTTCCTGACTTTCATACTATAGGAAGTCATGCTCTCCTGCGAAGCAGTGTCACTGTCATGATCCAAAGTGGGAGCAGACATTGTCCATCCTCCTTTCTTCTTTGGCGACCCTAGTGCATTATTCTGTGAAGCTTCAGCTGTTGGGGCCTCTGCAGCTAGGCCAGTTGACATCTCCTGATTATCATCCTCAGAAGCAGAATAGTACCATAATGACCTCAGGAAGGAACTGGATGGAGTCTAAGGAGAGGATGAGTAATCATTCTCACTCAGGGTCCTTGTATCTATGAAAGAGGAAGATACAGCTTTTGCTAGAACTATTACAGACTTGGGACTCTCCTGAGTATCATCTACTTCAATTAAAGACTTTTACTTAGACAAAAGAACTTCTAAAACAGGGTTTGTAGTTACATCTTCATCACCTTCTAAATTAAACTCCAGATCACTATGAGACAAGAAAGCAGGGACATAATTTGAATTATCAATTATTTCATCTGATGGGCTAATTTATGTCATTTCCAAATCAGACGAGGTAAACAAGACATCTTCGTCAATGGCATAAGTATGTGAATTATCAGGAACAGAATGAAACGAGCCTGTGGAGTTAGAATCAGAAAACTCCTGGCATTTTTCCTAAGCTGCTGGGGCTGCTCTCCGGGTAGTATCAAAGAAACCATTAGCTAGTAGATCATCATGGTTGAGCTGGGGTGGATTCATAGGGTCATAAGCATTCCCCCTCCTACGATTGCCATTGTGTGCTCCATTTTGATTATCAGCATTTGTAGGTCGATCCCCAGAATCATCATCATTTTCATCACATCAACGCCATCATCGTTTCTATTATGATCATCATTGTCTTCAATATCCTGATCATTTTGGTTGTTATCATCTTGTTGATCATAATCATCATCATTATCATCATCTTCTGGAAACATCGCCGGATACAGGGCATCAGGTAGGGGAACATCTAACTCTGTGGTTTGAAAGCCATCCTGTATAAAATGATCAGGCACATTTTCATAGAAGTTGTACATTTACAAATATTTGGTCTCCATAATTCGGGATGTGCAATACTGTTTATGACCATGGGCCCTCATAGTGCTAGAAAACAGAGGGCGTTGTGCATCAATTAGCATTAGAGAGTTATTCTTGCTTGCCCTCTGCATAAAGTGGTTATCTAAATAGGCATTAAGCTCTACATCATCTACCATGAGACATCTCTGACTCGGATGGCCAAACTTCCCACATCTAGTACAGAATTTATGCACACATTCATACTTGCACCGAATTTTACCCAGTTTACCATTCCTCTTCATGTAGTGGAAAGTGAGAGTGAGTGGTTCACCAGCATTGATCCAAACTTTGACTCTAATATAAGTAGCCTTACGGAGATTGACGCAGTCTTCTTTGATGATTGCTATATCCCCCAGGTTCTAGGCCAGATCTCTAGCACCTCTGTAGTTGTAAGAAGTAACAGCCGCACCATGCATGCGTACTCAAATGCTCATTTTATCAATTTTAATACTATCCAGCGCCAGATCTTCATGATCATACATACGGCGAAGGATTAATAGTTCACCATCAATTGCATATAGACCATTATCTAGTGCTAGAAGCAGATCTGTCCTTGAGGCAAACTTGATGATGAAAAAATTGCAGCCATAATGCAAGATCCGGGTGTATATTGGCCACTTATCCACCAGATAGGTTTGCATGTCAGCCTCTGTAAATGGTCTATCATCCAAGAAATAACCCAATAATGATAGCTTGAAGTTTTCTCTGGATAGACAAGTATTGTAATCATTAAGAGGAACTCTAAGGGAGCGTTCATAGGAAGTTTGCACAAACTGAGGATGCATCTCTGTGGCTGGATTAAAGTCGTGCTCTTACTCTGAAAACTCTGGACCTTGAATAGACATGTCAGTCACCGAGTCTTCATCCATTGCATGCCGGTGATTCATGATGAAATGAAGAAAAGTAGCAAATACAAGGAACAAAAAGAGGAAGAAAAGTCGATTCCAGATCTCACAAAAGTTTGTAATGGTAGGTTGAGTGTAGAAAAGTTGTGGAAAGGGACAACTAATGGAAGACTAGGGAATATGAGCAGTCGATAAATCAGATTCGAAAAGACAAAAGGTGGGATACTTTGTAGCTCAGTAAATACTTTAGAAGAGCAGCAGATACTTGGAAAACACCATTTATTCTTGGAACAGCAAACAAACAAAAGAATGGAATAAAGGGAAGGTACTTTGTGGCGGGATTTGTTCAGATTACTAGGAGTAATTATGCGATCTAATAGTGGCTTGAGGAGTACAAACAAGTTGATGCATCCAAAGGCAGATCTTCGACTGCATGTCGTCCATTTGGCGAAAATAGTAGAAAATTTGCCAAGTAATCTTCCACTATCTTGGTAATTAGGAAATTTGAGTAGTCCTCAAAAGTGGTTTTGGGAAACTAGGGATGATATAGGATGAAGAAGATTAGTGGTATGGAAACTAAGGCCTTTCTCACTTGGAGAAAGAGAGGACTTTCTCTCTCTTGGGTTGTAGAGAGGGAAATGGTTTTACATATCAGTTATTATGTTTTCTCAGTACATTATTTCACTACGAGTATTATTTTCTTTTGGTAATATCAGTCTTTTGACAGATAAACTATTACAAAATGCAAGTAAGACGAGATTGTAATATGATACATGAACTTCTTGATTGATTTGTACACTGTGCGACTCGCCCCTCCCATAACTCACACGTTAATTTGGTCTTTTAGTTTCCCCCCTCTCCATTATTTTGTTACATTTTTAATTATCCTTTTGATAAACCTAAATTATATTCATGAGACAAGAAATTTTTCTTTGCTCCAACTGCAAATCTTAATCAGGGTTACAAATCCCAATGTTGATTGACTAATTCTCAAAGTTAATTTACACAACTACTACAGTAGTACTAGTCAATTTAAATTAGTACTTGAGTCAATTCGATTTCTTTAATTGATCTTTCACCATATCTTACATATAAATTGTAGCATTTCTGATACAAGAAAAAGTAAGGGGTATAGAATTGAGGAAAATGAAAGATTAAAAAATAAGGTGTACATTTGTGAATTGTTTATTTATTCATTTATTAATTTTTTTTTTTAATTTTTCTCTGGTTTAAGCTCACTTAAAATTACTACTATAGCAAACACATTTTGTGAAGGCATAAAAATTTCCACGTTATGTGAATCAAAGGGCTTCTTTTTGAAACACATTATATTCCCTAAAATCTACTGCAAAGTCTATAAAACGCATCTAGTGACACCATTGCCTGCGTTTTAAGCACCACCATATAAAACCCTACACACACTCACAAACTCACACACTGTGCTGATACGAAAAGGGGTCCTCTTCTTCGCTCTCGAACATTCCCCGTAATATCATCAAGCTCCACAATGCCTCCGAAAGCTGCGAAATCGAAGGAAGCCCCAGCTGAAAAGGCCATCTTAGGCCGTTTCTCTTCCCACCTCAAAATCGGAATCGTACGCTACTTCTTTTTAGTTCATTTAATTTGGTGTATATATATTTTTTTTTACTTGATTCCGAAATTAATTGATTTTCTTCTGGTTGGTAAGTTCTTGCATGTTTTTGGACTAGAAATTTACCCGATGATGTAATTAGCTTGCCTTTTTTTTTTTTTTTTTTTCCGTATATGAATGCTCTGAACTGAACTAAGAAGTAGGGCAGGATATTCGTTTGAATCATTTCTCTTCGCATCAATTTATCGTTGTTTCTCATTTGCAAACTTAAGATGTAGTAATCTGAAGTGAGAAAAAAATCCAATGATATGTATCCCGTGCGGTTGTTGTGAAGATTATATTCAATTGTAGGTTGCAGTATTTGTATAGTCTACCTTGCTTTTGGTTTAATTTCTTTTGGTTATTGTTTGTCTTTTTCTTTTTCTTAGGTTGGGTTGCCAAACGTGGGCAAATCCACTCTGTTCAACACCCTTACGAAATTGGCTATTCCTGCTGAAAACTTCCCCTTCTGTACCATTGAACCCAACGAGGCCAGGGTTAATGTTCCAGATGAGCGATTTGAATGGCTCTGTAATCTGTACAAGCCGAAAAGTGAGGTCAGTATTTTTTTTTTTTTTTTGGGGAACATTCTTTTTCAGTATATCATCACTATTCTTGTGTTTCTGCTGGACAGCTTCATTTACTATTTGCCTCTTGTCTGACACAGCTTTTTATGAACGATATTTAGATGTAAGCATTTAATTGATATCAATCTTTATTTAATCATTCTTTGTTATCTTGTGTAGGTTTCCGCTTTCTTAGAAATTCATGATATTGCTGGGTTAGTTAGAGGTGCACACCAAGGACAAGGGCTAGGGAACAGTTTCCTGTCTCACATTCGTGCAGTTGATGGCATATTCCATGTTTTGCGTAAGTTAATTTCCAATTAAGTTTTTATTTATCTTTCCTGGTGATTTCCCCGCTTTTTATATTGTTTTTCTTGGGTAATTCTTAGTTTTGCCTCTGCTATGGATTGTTATTATCAAGGTTGTTTAGAGTATACATCTTTGGCTTAGTTTCGAGAAATCCTCATGTTTTATTTTCATTTTCCGTAAAAGAGCTGGAGATCTTTTTTTAAACGTTGAATTGCTCTGTTGCATTTAAGATGGAGATAGCTTCCGTGCAGATTTAGTATCATGTTCATGGAATATTTATCTGGGTGATTAGTTTTTCAAAAGTTGTTGGAACTTTGAAACTTGAGACATGAATGATTCAAATGTGGATGCTACTCATGTCTCTGTGTATAACTTCTGAAAAAAGGAAAATTTCTCGTTCTTGATTTGTTCAGGCACCCTCTCACTTAATTATAGGCTCCCAAATTGCTGTTATGTCCCGTGCTTCTCTTTTTTTCTCATTGGATTTGGAATCAGTTAGGCATTGTGAAATTATTTTCTGAACATATTAGTAGATTTTGGATAGTGTTTGACTCCTGCATCATATTTTTTGTTCGGCTATTTGAGTTTGTGAAATTCGCAACTGGATCATCATTGTTTCTCTGGAATGTCAAATTATTTGTCATTAGAGCTGCTATTCATGACTTTACCTAAGCAGCTATATATGTTAGATGCAAAATCTGCTTTAGGCTTTTGTTGCATTGATTGGTTTTAGTTATATCGCCAGTCGAGATTGGGAGAATGGCAGCAATAACGTGCATGATAAAGTTGTTCATATTGTTGTCTGCTGTGCTGCTCAAGTGAATCTTGCAAGCTTGGTCAACATTATCTTTTGACGATAATGTCTCTCTGTTTTTTTTTTTTTTTGTTGCTTATGACTAACACTAGTGTAACCAAGGGCTTTCTGATTTGATCTACTGACTTTTCATGGTGAAATGGAGCCCTTCATTCCTGATGCGTAGTTCCATGATTTTTGTTGCAAAATTTGTGTTTTTGGATTATATTTTAATTCATTCATTAGAATTAACATTTCAGTTGAAACCCTTCTAACTGCTGCTGTTTCACGGAGCAGGTGCTTTTGAAGATCCAGATATTATTCATGTTGATGACTCTGTGGATCCTGTGAGGGATTTGGAGGTTATTGGTGAAGAACTACGTCTCAAGGTATGGCTTTTAGCACTTCAAACAAAAATCACATCCTTGGTGTTCCAAAAATTCGATGTAATTTGATTTTTCTTGAGAAAGATTTTGGGGCTCTTTTTCTCCTTCAGCTTGTGTTGAGTGAAGCTCGTTGTTTCCTGGCCTGGCCAGGAGTAGGTGATGCTGTCGTCTGGGCAACATGCTGCTCCATATGAGAGCCAGATGGCAACTTCTTAAGATGTCGGTTGTGGCTTCTAATGCCAGAAAAAGCAAACTGAGGATTGGCTTGTCTTTTAATCCTCTTGCTGTTTTTTTAGTATGTGCTGAAAATGAGTCCCTAAATGTTTCAGTTACTTTTGATAGCTTTTCAAAACATCAGGAGATTAGATGACAAATATTTTCTTGAATTTTAGATTGAAAAAGTAAAAGAAGTGAATTGATTTAAGACTGGAGTCTGGAAATGTAGTGCAAGCGAAGGTTGAAGGATGCCTTGTTTATTGTGTGCCATCGACTGCTACATCTACACTGCATTTTGGTATAGTGGTATCATTTTGAATGAGATTATGTAATAAGTTGAAAATCCTATGTAATAAGTTCAAAATCCTATGATGTGTTGGTATAATGTTATTCTCATTTTCCTTCTGTACTGTTAAAACAATAGGTCAACAAGGGGAACCTAACCTTGCAATCTCCTTGCTGCTGCTTTTTGTTATCTATCATTGTTGACATATTGTATCGGATGTCAAGATTTGATTTTCTTTTGTCGCTAAATCTTTTGCTTATTTGGTGATATCTTTTGTTCTTCAGTTTAGAGTGCATTTCTCTCAAGTTTGAGATCTTCCAAGAACAGATTCTTTTATCTAATCATTGAGCTCAAGTAAAGGCCTATTTTTTTTTTTTTTTTTGGCTATTTCTGATTATTATTTTCATTTCTTGTCTAAGGATATTGAATTCATGGAAAGGAGGATAGAAGATATTGAGAAGAGCATGAAGAGGAGCAATGACAAGCAGTTAAAAATAGAACATGAGCTGTGTTTGAGGGTAGGATTATGTTTATTCTATACGAATGTCATTGGAATTCCTGCTTAGTTTTTTTTAATCAATTTCTTGATTGATCTTTTCATTTTATATAGCTCACAGTTCTACAAAGCTACATTTTAGAACATCTCCTTATTCCCCCCGATTACATACCAGTATCTTTTTTTGTCAGTTTTCACAAGCTATAGAATGTTCTTTACAAATTGCTCGAGTATCCATCACTTTGCCTTGGTAGGTGCAGAATTTGATGGAAATCTTGCCATGTAAAATGTTCGAGATTTTCATGCCTTAGACGCTGTTGTTTTCCATTGCATTATTGTTTCAACCTGTATCAGGTTATTACCAATATGATTGACTATGCATATACACTTGTATATGTATGAAATCTATCCTTTATTTATCACATGATGCTTTTTCTTAGTATTGTCCATTAGAAGATTAGGCAACTTTGGCGGGTGATATTATAATTTATTTTTTATTTTATTTTTTGGTGAAAATTAAAGCATTCTTCGACTTTTACCTTCCTTGTCAGAAAACTAAAGAATCTCATAAAGCCTATATAGGCTACTAGTATAATTTCCTTAAATAAAAAATTGAAGAAATAAAGAATTAAAAATTGGTATATTAACCCTATCATAGTAATAGAATCAGTATTAAATCATTCCTGATTACATCTTCTAGGAAAATGCAGATGCCTAATGTTGATGTTGTGATTCTATAGGTTAAAGCGTTTCTTGAAGAAGGAAAAGATATCCGTCTTGGGGAGTGGAAAGCTGCAGACGTTGAAATTTTAAATACATTTCAACTCTTGACGGCCAAACCTGTTGTGTACTTGGTAAGTTACCAATTTTATTCTTGACAGCCTATTTCTGTGAAGAAATTGGAAAATTGCTAATGCTTTCTCTATGGTTTAGATCAGATGTCATTTTTTGGATTTATGAACTCTTCAATTGTATATCCTATGATTTGAATGCAAATCAAACCTGCTAGTCTCAAGTTTAGTTAGTCAATAGTTTCCTGCTGTTGGATATTATTAGCATCATTTACTGGCTGCAAGAACTTAAATTCTACCTTGCAGGATCCTGCACTTAAAAAAAGCTTCTTCCATGAATGCAAGAGTAATATATTACAAACTTTGCAGTAGGGTTGCTATTTATCCGGAACTGGATGAAGGATGAACCTGATAAAAACTTAGGGCTATTCATTTGTCAAATTTCCCAGTTCAGCTTTCGTAAATGTATTGAGGCTCTGCTATATGAAGTTGGTTTTTTACTTCTTCTCAGTTCGCACCTCAATGCATTGATAAAGTCTGAATTCAGGGAAGTAGAAAAGTACCTTTTATCTGTTTATTTTTATTTAACTGGCAGCATGATCTTTTCTGTGAATTGCATATATCAATGTTCTTCTCTGTAATAATTTAACCAAGCTGTAAACTAATAAGGTCTAAACTCAATTTCATCAGAACTTGCTGACATCTGTGAAGATTTTGGATTTGTGTTGGACACAATTATGCGAATTACTCAGTAAAAAGAAATGGTTTCCTGATATTTCTTTGACCTGATGAGAGGATACCTTATGGTTGGTTCTAATTTGCAGGTTAACATGACTGAGAAAGACTACCAAAGGAAAAAGAACAAGTTTCTCCCAAAGATTCATGCATGGTATATAAGTTATCCTCTTTAAATGAATAGATTGTATACGTATTCATATACTGCATGCTTGTGAAGATTTTTTTTCTCCAACTTCAACTGTAATCGGGGGAAAAAAAAACAATAGATGAGTATTTAGATTATGATGATGCTGTGCACAGCTTTTTATCTGATTGGATGATGGACTAGTTAGTTTTGTATGCTAGTCCTTGCTGGTTCAATCACATTGAATAGTGCTAAACTCCTCATTTGCCCTCAATTGAAATGCGGTAATAGTCCATCTTAACCTGCTATGTTGAGACAGATGAACAAAAGCAAGAGAGTCACATTCCCCATCCCAGCAGCATATATGTAATTTGTAAACAGAAAAAGTAAAATACTCAGTGAAATCCAACATCAATCTACATCAACATGCCCAGTATATTTCCATCCAAGTTGGGGTCCTGTCAGCTGTATACAGCCTTATCCTTGTAAAATACTCTGTAAATTTTTAAAAAAAGAAAGATGTCTCGAGGAAAGTAATGTGATTCACCGTGTCCAGTGCTTTTGCGTGATTGATTGAATAGGGTCTAATGAGTAATTCTTTTTGGAAAGGGAATAATGATCTTAGCTTTACTACTTTAAGAGGTTTGTACTTTATGGTTCAAGTTTGGTTTAAGCAGAGAAGGTCTGAAAACTAGTTTTGTTTGTGGTGCAGGAACATGGAGTAGTAGTTATAATGCTCTTTTTTTTGTGTTTAAGAAATCTTCTTTCTTTTGCTTAATTTGAAAGATAAAATGGTATATTGGTAAATACATATTCACTTGTATTTATATATTCCTTATAGATTTTATATATACATTTTGTTTTCCGGTGGTGGTTATTTGTCTGTGGATATGCTGTATCGCTTATTAATTCGACCCTGAAACTGGCAGTTATAAAGCAATTGTTGATAGCTCTTGTATTATAATTCTGAGATGAAATGTTGTTGCCCTGGCTACAGGGTTCAGGAGCACGGTGGTGAGACAATTATTCCTTTCAGTGGCGCTTTTGAGAGGGATTTCGCAGACTTACCACCCGAAGAGGCTGCTAAATATTGTGAGGAGAACAAAGTACAGAGGTCAGTTAAAACGATTCTTAATCGTAGGATGCTTTATGATTCTGAAATCTTGACTGCTGTGGTTTGACTGATATAGATCCACACACAATTATGCTTTTCGTATGTAGAAAATTGTAGACTGTTAACTGTTCGTCTAAAGTTTTAACCAATTAATTGATAGTGAATTATCTTTTTATGCTTTCTCTCTAGTTTTAGTATCCTGAATGTTTTAAGTTATCAAGTTCAGCCTTGAAGTGAATGTCAAGATTGCTAGTTACTAGTGTTCTAAATCTTTTCATGATAGCTTATATAGTTTTAAATGATTAATCAAATCGAAACTCTTGCTTGAGGACTCTATAGAAATTCCTTCGAGTACCTAGAACAGATCAACTTTGAGAGATAGTTGATGTGATTTCAATTTTTTGACATTGTTGCCATTTTTCCTTCATAACAAGGGAGGATATGACTCTTTAAAGTAAAGAAAACTACAGATTCAGGAAATACCTCTCTCAAGTACCAAAAGCTAGAAGATGTCTCGTGACAAAATATTAAACCTTGTTTGAGTGATTACACTACTTCTTGTGGATCAAACATTGGTCTTCTTTTTAATACTTATAGCCTATTTAGTATGTGGTAGTATGTGGTCACTGTGCATGAAATCATGTTTCTTCTCTCTGTCGTAAATTCTTTCTTGTGTGATTGTTTCCATCTTAAGGATTCCCTTTCCTTAAAAACTTGTGTTACTAAGGTTGACGTTATAATGTATTGAATTTGCTGTATTGTACCATTTTAAACTAGTCCAATTGATTGCTGATATTTTTTAAATTAAAAATATTGCACAATTGTTGCTTGTTCACATTCCGAGTAAATCTAGTTGATATTGACAAATGTTTGGTGGATTGAGAGGTATTCAAATTTCAAAGTCTTGGCAGACGAAAGCATACGCCCCCATGGTCCCAAACCAAACCTCTATTGCTATCTTGCCAGAAATGTTTACCGTTATTCCTTATGTCAAGCAAAAATGAGGCAATTGTATGAATAGTTTGAGTTTTTAGGACATTCTGGGTATCTTATGTAGCGCATCGGTGAAGATAAGAATTGGTTTTCACTGTGGTTACTCAATGAAAGCAAGATTGGGTAGCGTACTGTCGAAAACATAATTGGAGAAAATGGTGGATCTAGTTCCCAAAGGAATATTGATTGTTATGACCTGAAGCTTGCAAGTTTCTCCTCTATTTGAGAGAAAAAAAAAAGAAGAAAAAAGAAAAAAAGAGAGTAGTAAGAAGAAAGCTGTTCCAGACTATGTAGGCTTTTGGACCGTAAATCTGCAATCAATGGCCATAATATGGTCATTGCTTACCTGTGTGATTGATTATCAGCCAAGTCTCTGTTTCCCTACAAAATTAACTTTTTGGTGGACTACTGCCACCAAGAATTAACAGAGGTTTTTCTTTGGGTTTCCTCTGATATAACAATGTTGTATTTGTGGTCCAACCGATAATACTTGTACTCAGCAAAATAGCGGCTGGTTTTATCTTAAAATATACCCCTTAGTTTTTTCGTGGAATCATATGCCTCTTCTGAAACGCTTGTGATTCCAGTTCCTGGGCATCTTCCCGTATAGATATTTTGCATGTTTGATGAATTCATTTGGACCTTGTAGCATATACTGATAAACCCTCGGTATTGGCTTGCAACAAGAGCTAGGACGCTGTGAATTGATTATCTGAAATGAAAAAATATTCAAGGTGCACTCTGTCTAACTGGTGATTTGCTTTTTGCAGTGCACTTCCAAAAATCATAAAGACTGGGTTTTCAGCAATTAATCTCATCTATTTTTTCACTGCTGGACCAGATGAGGTACTCATTGTTTATTTGTATCAGTGCTGTTTCTACAATTGCCTTAGTTAATTTTTTTCCACACAATGCTGCTTCTGTAGGTTAAGTGCTGGCAAATTAGGCGGCAAACAAAAGCTCCTCAAGCAGCAGGAACAATTCATACTGATTTTGAGAAGGGTTTCATATGTGCAGAGGTACTATTATACATTTGCTTCCTACTTTTCTACTTTTTTGAGGTCCATGTGACCGTACATGCTGTCAGCATCGATGGAGATCAATTTCTTCGTGTTGTCCAGAGCACAATGTGTTGGAACTCCTCTTGTATTTTTTTTGCTAATGTATGTTGCATGATTCGGATGGACTCTTACCTATGGAGTTCCAACTTAAGTTGAATATGCAAAGAGGTTACATCTAGGAGCACCGGAGTTTGGTTTGTAACTCATTCGTAAAGAATTAACTCGTTATGAAGATTGAGAATAAAGTATCTTGCCTTCTTTGACTTCATTAGAAACCATTTTGGAATGCGTGAGGACAGATCTAGTTATGTTTTTGTCCTCAATCTAAATTGGAAAACAATATTTGGGGTAGGATGGAGTCTAAAATTGTTCTTCATTTTTGCTCATTGTTTGTTGTGCATAACTTTCTAATATTGTGGATTTTGTGATAATTTTTAGGTAATGAAATTTGAAGATCTCAAGGAACTTGGTAGTGAGTCTGCAGTGAAGGTAATGACTTTAGTTGTGGAAATGTTCTATTATATTACAGCTTTTTTTCCTTCTTTTTGTGGGTTTTAATCCCCAAGACAACTACACATTGAGGGTCATTTAGTTTCATTATTTCGTATGGACTTCTTTTCCCTTCCGCAAGAAATAATGCATTTGTATCTTCCATTTGGGGGAACCATGTTGAATCAATGATATTATTTTGTGTTTCTGTTTGTATTTTCATAACTTTTGTGTAATCCATCTTTCTTGTTTAGGCTGCTGGGAAGTACCGTCAGGAAGGGAAGACGTATGTGGTGCAAGATGGAGACATAATATTCTTCAAGTTCAATCCTTCTGGTGGTGGGAAGAAGTAAATTCGTGACAAGTAATCGAGAAAGCAACATAGGCTGGATCACTGGATGGATTTGTTTGAAACATTATTACTGGAATAGATGAGCAGATAGGATATCTGAATGTAAGAGTTGTGGAAACCTGATTCAGCATTGTTATACTTGCAAAATTTTGCTTGTAGTTCTTGGATCCTATACTGTACTACTTTTGATCTTGTCTACTGGTTGGTAACACACGTGATATGGAGTTCTTAGGCTTCTTGTTTTCAACTTTCTTGATGGGAAATGATTTCACTATTTTCCCGAAATATAATCATCAAACGATGTTAATTGTTGATATTTACTTTCAACTTTATTAATCAACTAAATAGTCCCTGCGATTTTTAGTTGTGAAAGGATGATTTTAAGTTGTTTGTATGTGTGTTGTGATCACAAAGATCAGCTCGTTCTGTTGGGAATCACTTAAAGCAGCTGTTGGTGGAGTCATCAGAAACGACAGAGGCGAGTTCTTTGGGGGGGGTGGGGGGGTGGGGGGCGCTTTTACAAATTCTTGGGAAGATGTTTGGTTGAGACGGCTGAGGTTGCAGTCATGCGCTTAAGTCTGGAAGTTGCAAAGCAACAAGGATTCACCAAAATGCTTGTTGAATTTGATTCTGAGATATTTATAAAGTATAAAGCTATGCTCTAGCCTAAATGGAATCACAAGTTTGGATCCTGATTTGAGATGCATTCAGTACCTTTTGGACTGTAATTGGGAAGTGCTTTTCAAACACATATTTAAGGATAACAATTTCTGTACTTCTTTTTCTTTTTTTTTTCCTTTTTTTTTTAACTTTCAAAAAAAAAAAAAGGAAAAAAAGAGGTTTTAAGGAAGAATAAGAGATTATATTTTTTTTGATATCGCCCCTTTTTGTATTTCCTTGTTGTTAGAGCATGATTATTTAGATTCATGTAAGTTTTTTTATCAAGACATTTAGCCTTGGGGTGTTTCTAGACTCTTACAGCTTCTATAAGAAATACGTACGATGTCATTATATCTTTGGTAAACCGTCGTTCCTTTTTTGTGCTCAACAAACATTAGGGCGACTTTGCGGAACTTCATTAGTCTTCAATCACTGGAAAATGTTGAATACTCTATAGTTAGCATTCAACTATAGAGTATTCTGTAAATCTGCTGCCAAAATCCAGGCTGCAAGTTTTGGTGATAAGCCAAAATAATCCATTACTGGTACAAACTACAAGGAAGATACTACGTGCATTTCAACTTTTTGGGACAACATCATGTTGATTGCCACCCTAAATTTCTAGTCCTGCTTAAGGTTGTTGGCAGTTTATTTCGATGAAAATGTACAAATGATTACTAGGGGATCCACGTTTTTACGCACAATCATCATCGCTGCTAATTCACTATAGCACGAGTTCAACATTATCACTAAGTTAGAGAACTTGTGGTTTCAATCGTGAGAGGTATTACTCAAAAAAAAAAAAAAAAAAAAAAATCGTGAGAGGTCAATCTAGACAAACTTTTATAATGATTAAGCTCGATTGCTTTTGATCCACAATGATTTCTAGAAAGAATTCTAAAATTGAGTTTTATTTTGAAATAAAAAGCACATATCTTCCGTCTCAATTAATATTTATTCTTTTTCGTCTCTTGGTCTCATTTAACCGATAAAATTAAATTGCTAAGCTAACTTATGATTACTGTCGCAGAAACTTAGAATATACATTCCGCTAAGTCCCTCACTATTGCCATTTATAAAAATGTGTACGGAAAACGAAATTAACCACTCAAACTATATTATCCTAAAGTAAATTAAAACGGTCAAGTTTTAGTCACGTTTGGTACCTTTTGTTGGTTTTTCATTTCTGGAAGTGGTAGTTAATTTAGTTCAACGAGCTACGTGTATATATCTAAATTAAGAGAAACCAAAATTACTTCATCTGGGGCAAAAAAATGAAAAAGGATTAAACACGTCTGTAAGTATAAAATGCTATGATCTGGAACCTCTTTGGACTGATTTTTTTTTTTTTTTTCATATTTGTAGGGTGTTCACTGCCGGCAACAGTAACTAATTTTTTCGCTGAAATGTAGATATCCCGATAGGTAGGACAGTTGGCCAAAGTATTTAAAATTACTCCATTCCCATGACGAGGTGAGCCATCAACCTAAGATTAAGAATAGAGGAGTCCCTTACACTCTATCACAACAACTTTGGTTAGCTCTTTGGACTAATTGACTATGGTTTCCAAATGTTAGAACTATATTATTATTAAGAAAAAGGTTGGAGGAATCGATAAGTGGGAAAATATTTCCACTTTCATTTATCTTTTACTCCCTCCGTCTCATAATTATTGTTCAGTTTGGGTTTTCATTTTTAGTTCAAATTGTACTGAAAGTGAAATCTCAAACTGGATAATAATTTTGGGACAGAGGAAATACTATTTATATCCACAAATCTAATGGATGAAAGAAACATTAATACTAAGATTTTTAATTCGGGACCGGAAAATGTTTAGAAGTAAACTACTCGATATGTTTTGGTCCAGCTCTTCTTGATGTTGTTGGTGCTTATAACCTAGCATTATATCTCATAGACCCCATATCTTTAAGTAATCTCCATACTGCTTCACCTACTTTGTCTCTCATTGTCGTCTTATATTGTGGATTTTCGCCACTATTTTGTAAGCCCACCACATGTATTTTTGGCTGCAACAAAAAGTACCAATTTCTTTCTTTTGGAAGAAAGCAAATGAAGGAAACTGTTGTTTTGATATTTGAGGGTGAAAAAGATAAGGGTTAATGGTTATGAATGTTATTTGATTGGAGTTGAAAATTTATAAATTTTTATTATTTTGGAGGAAACCGCTATTCATGTTAATTATTGTTAAATATCTCTTGTTAAATTATAATATCTCTTGTAATTACATTTTTATTCAAACCTAGAAAAACGTCTATATCAAATTACAGAGACTATAAAAACGTCTATAACATCAGCTCACACTATCAATTCTCCCATGTAACAATTACCATAAACAATTTTATCAAGGCACAATATCTCATATATTAAAAAGAAAAAAAAAAAAAAGAAAATGAGAGGAAAAAAACACATGAAGAAAGAAGATGCTGATGCTGCTTACCCTAGTCAAAGGGGCAAATAGAGGGTGGGACCCAATTCCTTACTTGTCACTGACCACACTTCCCCATGCTGCTTCAGCTCAGCAGAATTTATTAAAAAGAGCATTCTACTTTATTTGCATCAATTCCCAAAACAAAAAAGGACATCAAACCCAAATCTTAAACAAAGATTTTGAAAATCCTCTTGACGTCCACTATGACTATGTTGTTGTTGTTGTTGTGGGAAAGATTCCCTCTTTTCTGAATTCTGCCAATTTCACTCTTTTTTTTTTTTGGCGGGTAAACCCTCCTAATTTGCTCGAACAAATTACGCACTAAAATCTAATCCAATCCCTTTTCCCGCTTTTCCATCTTTACATTTATTTTTCCTTTTTTCTTTTGCCCCCACTGTGTGTTGTCTCTTTATTGCAGACTTTTTCTTTTTATTTCTTTTTCGAAAACTTTGTGTTTAAAAATGTCAGGAAAGTGTAAAAACAAGACAAAAGTTGAGGCTTTAATATTGGGTTTCCCACATTTTGGAGAGAGAAAGTGATGGTATTTCGAGGGTGAAAATTGAATGAAATTGGGCGAGAGACGAAAGTACATTGCCTTTATTTTGGTGGGTTTTTGTTCTTTTAATCTAATTTCAGTAGCTTTTTTGGAAGCTAGTTTCTGTTTGCTACTAGGGTTCTTCAGGGCGAAAAAAAACTTTCCCTTGTTCGTTTTTTGCTTGTTTGTTCTTACTCAAATGTCATTTGTGAATTGCAGATTTTGAAGACCCTTCTGCTTCACTTTCATTTTGCCTCTCTCTTTGAGTTTTGCAACGAATGTACCTACTGTACAGTCTTTGGAGAGCAAAGGTTTTTCACCATTCTGTAAAAATTGAAGCTTGAAGAGGAAGCCCTTTTCTCTGGGGCTAATTCCCAGCTAGGATTCACATTTGGGTCTGCATTCCCAGCTGGGAGGGTAATGTATGGTGAGGAAATGCTGAATGTTCTGTGGCCGGATCTACGAAAGTGACACTGTATTGGTGGGGTATTTCTTAACAACATTATTAGTCTGCATCAGTTACTGTTCGTTCACTCGTGTTTTTTTTATGGAATAATCTCTGTAGCCTTTGGAGTTTGAAGCTTGTTGATGGTCTCACTCTGTTTTTGTTATGCTATTGAAATTACTACCATTTGAAATTGAAGAAGGTTGTCTTTCTTTGGTAAAATGCTGAGGCTATAGGTTGGAAATCCAGTTGGTTGATGCTCATTTTGGTCAGTCAAGTGTAGTAATGTTTCTGTAATTGTTCATTGTGTCTGAACCTTTTGGGTAATATTATTCTGAAGAGTGGATATTCCTCCAAGTTTCAATTTACCTGCAGAAGTTAAAGATAGAGTTGAGATTTTCTTGGCCCAGTATGCAGCTAATTGGTATTTTCACATTAGCACTTTGCTTTCTGCCTGCTCTCGGGCAACTTCCTTCACAGGACATATTAGCTTTGCTTGAGTTCAAGAAAGGAATCAAACATGATCCTACTGGATATGTGGTTCAGTCGTGGAATGAGGAGTCCATTGACTTTAATGGATGTCCCTCTTCTTGGAATGGCATAATGTGTAATGGTGGCAATGTTGCTGCAGTTGTTCTTGACAACCTTGGGTTATCAGCGAATGTAGATTTGAGTGTATTTTCGAACTTGACAATGCTGGTGAAACTTTCAATGGCTAACAACTCTATTAGTGGGAAGGTGCCCAATAACATAGGTGACTTCAAGAGCCTTGAATATCTTGATTTATCAAACAACCTGTTCTTCTCATCCTTGCCTACTGGGATTGGAAACTTGGGGAGCTTGAGGAACTTTTCATTGGCGGGTAATAACTTCTCTGGCTCAATACCAGACAGCATTTCGGGTCTGCGATCGATTCAGTCTATGGACTTAAGTCACAACTCGTTTTCTGGGGAACTGCCATCATCTTTAATGAAGTTGATGAGCTTAGTGTATCTCAATTTGTCCCTAAATGGGTTCACAAAGAGCATCCCGAAAGGTTTTGAGCTGATGACAAATCTTGAGGTTCTTGACTTGCATGGCAATATGTTCGATGGGAAACTGGATTCAGAGATGTTGCTGTTCACTACTGCTATCCATGTTGATCTCAGTGGAAATTCTCTAGTGAGTTCAGCTTCTCAGCAGCAAAAATTTCTACCAGGAATTTCTGAGACGATCAAGCATTTAAATCTTAGCCACAATCAACTGACGGGTTCACTTGTTGGCGAGGCAGAAGCATTTGGTAATCTGAAGGTCTTGGATTTGAGCTACAATCAGCTATCAGGGGAATTACCCGCCTTTAACTTTGTTTATGACCTTGAGGTTCTTAGACTCAGTAACAACAGATTCTCTGGTTTTATCCCTAATGACCTTTTGAAGGGTGGTTCTTTGGTTCTTACGGAGTTGGATTTGAGTGGTAACAACCTTACAGGTACACTAATCTTTTGAATCTAACTGTGTATATGTTTGTGTCATTTTCATGTGATTATCTGTTTTGGTTGTTTACTGGACATTAGTGTATCTGTTATTCGAGAACAAGCACAGTTCATTATCTGGATGCATACCTTGATATTCCTTTATTGATTTTCAGGGCCAGTCAGTATGATTACATCAACCACATTACGGAATCTTAACCTTTCCTCAAATGCACTTTCTGGTGAGCTTCCTCCACTCACTGGAAGTTGTTCAGTAATTGATCTATCCAGCAACCAATTTGAGGGAAATTTGACGAAATTGCTTAAGTGGGGAAACCTTGAAACTATTGATTTGAGCCAGAATAGATTGACTGGACCGATACCTGAGGTAACTGCTCAATTTTTACGTTTGAATTACCTTAACATCTCTAGCAATGGATTGAGCGGCTCCCTCCCAAAAGTCCTTGTGCAATTTCCGAAAATTGCCATCCTTGATCTCAGTTTCAACCAGTTGGATGGAGCTCTTCTGAGCAACCTTTTATCTTCACCTACACTTGAAGAGCTTCACCTACAGAGAAACAGACTGAATGGCAGCATCGATTTCTCGCCACCAACATCATCAAATGCATCGAATCTTCGAGTCCTCGATCTTTCTCATAATCAGTTCAATGGCTACTTCCCTGATGGGTTTGGTTCTCTATCTGAACTTCAAGGTCTGAATATTGCAGAAAATAACTTTTCTGGTTCTCTTCCTACTTCTATGGGCAATATCAGATCACTAAATTCCCTAGATATTTCTCAGAACGATTTCACTGGTCCACTGCCAAAGAATTTGTCTGATAGTCTTCAAACCTTTAATGCATCATACAATGATCTTTCAGGAGTTGTCCCAGAGAATTTGAGAAAATTTCCTTTGTCTTCTTTCTATCCTGGAAATTCAAATCTACAATTCCCAAATCCTCCACCTGGTTCAGGCCAGCTTCCAGCTAAAAATTCGAGGAAGAGACGGATCAAAACTATTGTTAAAGTTGTAATAATAGTTGCTTGTGTGCTTTTCCTTGTTATTCTCATCCTGCTTGCCATTTTCATCCACTATACCCGCATATCAAAGAAGCCCCTGCCGGCTTTGCCTAGTAAAAACAGCCGTCGACAAGGCTCGAATCCCCCAGCTGCCAGCGGAAGAGATGCTGGTGGTGGTTTGGTAGTTTCAGCTGAGGATCTGATGACTACTAGGAAAGGTTCGTCTTCTGAGATCATCAGTCCTGATGAGAAAATGGCCGCTATCACTGGCTTCTCTCCATCTAAGGCCAGCCATTTCTCCTGGTCACCTGGGTCTGGAGATTCCTTTACGGCTGAAAATCTTACACGTCTGGATGTGAGATCACCTGACAGGTTAGCTGGTGAGCTGTACTTTCTTGATGATACCATCTCGTTTACGCCTGAAGAATTATCAAAAGCTCCAGCCGAAGTGTTGGGAAGGAGTAGTCATGGGACATCATACCGGGCAACTCTGGACAATGGTTTGTTCCTGACAGTGAAGTGGTTACGAGAAGGAGTTGCAAAGCAAAGAAAAGATTTTGCTAAGGAGGCTAAAAAGTTTGCTAATATAAGGCATCCAAATGTAGTGACTCTAAGAGGGTATTATTGGGGGCCAACACAGCATGAGAAGTTAATTCTTTCAGATTATATCTCGCCAGGAAGTCTTGCAAGTTTTCTCTATGGTAAATTCTCAATTCTGTAGTGGCTTCTACATCAAATACGAAGTATAACTCATATGTTTTTTAAGTATTTTTCTCCATTTTAAACAGCGTCAATCCTTCAAAATTTTCCATTTTTTATATTTGTTTCTTTGGTGCTATTTTTGAGAAAATTGCTTGATTTATTGATTTGTTCTGCTGCTTCATGCCTCTCTATTCCAAGTTCTAACAGAGTGGATCTATGTTGGTATATGATATCTATCATTAAACCTCTTCCAAAATTGCTTTCGGTTGCTATCCTTGTGGTTGTTGCCTAATAGTATTATGTGAATAGTAGTTGGCAATACCATGTTAATTATAAAGTAAAGCACTCTACTCAGAATGCATTCTCTTTCTTTTTGGTTTTTAATCTGAGCTACAAATCTCATAGAATATTCTCTATCCTTCTGGTTGAGGAACACTGTTAAAACTATTCTTATCTTATGGTATAAATATTTTAGTAATGAAATTTTTAGCATAGCTTCATGCAATTGCTCACAGTTGAGCTACTTCATGCCACTATTCTGAACCCTTGATCTCATTCTTTCTTTTCCGTCACAGAGAATTCTCTGCTAGGACAAGATTTAGTTTCTTGGCCTTTTTCACGATTGGCTTTTTTATTAGGTTAATTATTACAAGACTTTTCAAAAGGTATCAAGGGGGAGCCTTTTTAGCTCTGTATTGCAGAGATGCATGCCAATGTTTTGCCTTGTGTTTGAGTTTGTTCAGCTTTAAGCAAATCAGTGTATGATGAAAACTGTAGAAAATATGTTCTCATTAAGTAATGTTGGTCCTTCTAAATTGATATATACTATATGACGAATAGTTTTTCCAGAATCTGATTCAAAATTGTAATTAGCTAACAGAGCTTCTGAAGGAAGCCTTCCCCTGTTTTCTGATGTAGAACTGGTATCAGCTACTTTAAGGTTTTGAATTGAAACAGCTTTCCGCAAAGTAAAGCTTCTGTGTCACCACACTAACAGACTGTCTTTACCCCATTTTGGTTTGTAATCTTCTTGTATAAATTGTAGTGAATCTGAAGCTTTATACTAGCTGATTGTTGAAGCTCTTAACTTCACTTTGGGTTTTTGAGTATTGTAGGTAGTATATTCATTTTAGGTGGATCATATAATAAGTTGAAATTGTTTCTTGTTGGATGTAAATTAGGAGGCTTTATCATAGTTAGTTAAATAAGTGCTACTTAATCGAGTTAATAATTGCTGGAGTAGCATGTCAAAAGCCTGTGAAGATAGAATGGGAAGCCTCATCTGTTTGGCAATATTTGACAGAAATACCATTAGTTCATGTAACTTTGATTTATATTCTGTACTGATATGTTGAGCTTCTGCAGATCGACCAGGAAGGAAGGGACCACCCCTAACCTGGGCTCAGAGACTCAAGATAGCAGTTGATGTTGCACGAGGCCTGAACTACCTCCACTTTGATCGTGCAGTACCCCATGGAAACCTAAAAGCCACTAACATACTGCTGGATGGGCCAGACTATAATGCACGTGTTGCTGATTACAGCCTCCACCGCCTCATGACACATGCTGGCACCATTGAACAGATTCTTGATTCTGGTGTACTGGGTTATCGTGCACCTGAATTGGTTGCAGCTAAAAAGCCCTTGCCTTCGTTCAAATCAGATGTTTATGCTTTTGGTGTTATTCTACTGGAACTGCTGACTGGGAAGTGTGCCGGCGATGTGGTATCTGGTGAGGATGGAGGAGTTGACTTGACAGATTGGGTTAGGCTGAGGGTGGCAGAAGGCCGGGGGTCGGATTGCTTTGATGCAGCATTATTACCTGAAGTGGGGAATCCTGCAGCAGAGAAAGGAATGAAGGAGGTCCTGGGAATTGCTTTACGCTGTATACGCTCTGTATCTGAAAGGCCTGGTATCAAGACCGTATACGAGGACCTCTCGTCTATATAGTTTGTCCATTTTCTGTAGTGAACAGTGAGAAAAAAGTGGGAATCAATTAGCTCATTGACCTCCCCATTTCAGTAGTTGAACTAGGAATTCTTTTGGTGTGCTGAGCTGATTTTCTAACCATTAGGTTTGGTGCATATTTTCAATGTATACTAGGCACCTCGTCGGTTGACAATCTTTCTGTGTATTGGCCAGCCTTAAAATCTAAGTCTAATTGTGAGAAAGTTCCATCCTTTATGCTTCAGGCGCCGGCCTAAGTTGATATTAGGAGCCCTTCTTACAGGTTTGTCTTCACATTTCTTAGGTGCTGGTGATGATAAAGATATATTTTTCTGGAACGGATCCAGAAATGCGAGTGTTATGCACATACAATGGCTTGTGCATTAGGTCAAATTCATCAAGAGGGACACTAAATTAGCAAAGGAGATGAAGAAGGATGAATATAACAGAAAGGAAAGGTATGTAGTGAAAGAATCCAAGATTGGACGGCCTTATGGCCTATGCATTGTCTCAGAGTGTGAGAAATTTTTTGGGCAGACTTGAAAAGAGTCACGAGGGAAACATTGAGAAGAGGTCGAAAACTCTGCAACCCTTGAGTACCATACTACCCCACTACCACTAGTCTTAGTCATAACAGGTGTAGTAAAACGTCACAGTATACCCAATGACGGATTCAGGGGGAGTCAGGGTGGTCGATCGACCCAGTAACGGATTCATGTGGGGTCAGGGTGGTCGATCGACCTCCGGCCGGCCGGATTTGGCCAAATTTTTTCATAGTAGGGTGTCCGTTATTTGAAATTTTTTCAGTTCGACCTTCTGGTGACAGTTGAATAATCCTATTTTTGACCCCGCGATCTGAAAATTCTCGTTCCGTCACTGAGTATACCTATACAACCACAATGACGTTTATGTAGAAATAGTTGATAACCTTTACGCTGACTTAATTAACAGGAAAAAAATTTGTTTGCAAAGCTCCTGAGGTGGGGTGGGATAGAAATGGTTGTTTTTTATTATGCCAAAATGGAGTTCAAATCTCTACACAATTCAAAGTTAGTAGAATTCACCCATAAAATTATAAGCAAACTTTAATAAAGATAAAAGTGTGAAACATAAGTTTTACGGTACTAATTAACCAACAAAAGAGTTTCCAAAACAAAAGAGAGACTTTCTAAAAAAATCAACTATCCTAAGCAGGATGAAAATCACACAAGTGAGAAGAACAAAGATTAGACGAAGAATAACTCTTAATAAAGATAATTGAAAAATAAACAGAGTTTAATTGAGTTTTTTACTTCACTAAACCTGATTATTGATCAAATGCCGTTGCGCTATTTGAGATATAGATATTGCCAGACCCCGCTAAATTTGAGAATTTATGAAACATTATTTGAGTCATCAAAGAGTTTTTGGGTAGGAATTGGATGAGGAAATTGGGTGGGTGTGATGTTTATAGTAAATTTTATTATTATTTAAGAAATATGAAAATTTAATATTTTAGGCCTTAGTCTCTTTCATTGTTAAAAAAAAATAATAAATAAAAAATAAACAATGGGAAAATTATGACAAAAACTAGATGTGTTCTCAGTGTGGTAAATACTATCGTTAAATAAAATATTTGCACCACTATATATTTAACTAGAGCACTAGAATGTGCTTCACGCGTGTACCGTGTTATATGCTGTGCAACTTTGATGTAAGTATAATAATGATTTCTTGAAATGATACAAGTATTAGAGGATTTGTTGAAAATAAAAATAGACGGTAAGTTTTAATCGTTGAATTCTCCAGTATTGTAGAAGTTACTACACATTTATGATAGGTGGACAACGTTTTTCACTTATTTTTTGAGTTGCGTGCCAAATAAGCGAAAAGGAATATACAAGTTATTTTGTAACTTCTACTCCCTCCGTCTCATAATTATTGTCCAGTTTTACTAAAATGAAAAATTTTATTTTTAGTCAAACTTAACTATATTTTATCTTGGATAACTGGATATACCCCTACATAATTAATTGTTTAACCACAAAGATTTTATGGATAATGTTTTTTACTAAGGACAAATATGTAACTTGATCCATAAAAAGTCAAATTAGACAATAATTTTGGGACAAAATTTTTTGGGCAAAGCGGACAATAATTATGGGACAGGGGGAGTATATTTTTTCATCCCAAAAATAATTCACTTTGTTAAATTAAAATAGTGAAACAAAGTGAATCAATTTCGTGGAATGAAGAGATAATTCAATATTTTAGGACCAAAGCAAAAGGTTTTGGATCGCTAATAGTGAAGGCTTCTAATTTTTTTTTCTTAAGATAATTTATTTAGTAATAATAATCACAGGGGGTGCCTATCTAGTCGTATTTCGAATTTGTTTATTGCCCTGCCGCAATAAGATTAGGTAAAACCACACGAAATGATTTTATTTTCCAATGTCATTTTTAAAAAATTTTGTGTAGAGCTCATAAAATTCAAATGATTAAATTTTCTTTAAAAATAAGCTTTATGTGCTAAAGAAATACAAATTCATGAGCAGAAGAACCCAAACTGCTACTGCTACTTAAGGATGGAGAAATCAAAACATTGCTATTCAATAGTTACAGTTTGCTACTTGCTAGTATACAGCTCAAAGATATCTACACATGAAATGAGAAGCGCAATGCACAAACTCTCTGGGAAAAAAAAATGTTAAATACAAAGGAAATAGAGAAATATAGTACTTAGTTTTTCTTTCTTAATTAAATTTTTTTTCCCTTTTTCTGACTATGCGCACTTCTAAAGAGTAAGGTCGTTTTACCACTTTTGCACATCCATTTTCTCTTCTTCCTCATCCGTTTATAACGCATATGAAAGTTCGAATGTTAATCTATTTTTAATTTAATTTAATACTAATATTTTGGATAATCAACACAATCCGCGTAACGTGCAGAGTAATTATTAATATCAATTATTATTACAATAAAAAAGATATAAAATTTAAGATTTTTTTTCTGGTAATATCAGGAACCCCACCGAAAATGGGTAAATCCATGCCCACTATAATAGGGTGACAAGTTCAAGTGCAAAATCGGCTACAATAAAAAAAAATAAAGTTAAAGGTTTTTTTTTTTTTTTTGGTAATGCCAGGAGCCTCACCAGAGATAGATAAATCCACGCCCATTGCAATATGGTGACACGTTCAAGTGCGAAATCGGGAGTTCATAAATAGTTTTGTCATAACAAACCCTCTAGAGATGCAAATTGACAAGATTAGAGCCAACCCTCACTCTTGTTGTAGTGCCGGTTCGAACTATGACCTCCTTTTGAAAGTGAGGGTGATTTTACCACTGAACCAATACTTTATTCGCTAAGTTTTTTTTTTTAAATTTTAAATACATTAAATAACTAAATATTATTTATTTAGTAACATATCATCTCAACCTTCCCATGTCCAATTTTATCCCGGCAAAATCCGTTTAAAAGTGATAAAGTACTAATTTGAGTTTAACAAATGACAAATATATAGAATTCATAAATTTTAATTAAAATATGATTATTAATTAATAAATATTTAATAATTTCTTGAAAATGCAAAATCTCTTATAAAAAGAAATAAAGAATTTGTAATATCTCTAATAAAAAAAATGGAGATCTTAGTCATCTGTTGTTTTTCTTTTTTCTTTTTTTTATTTTTTGAATTGGATGGTCTCGATGAAAATCGAACTCTCGACCTCTCGGTAATAATCATCCTCCATCCTAATCCCCTAATCACCCCATCCAACCCTCCCACCCCTACTCATCTTTTGTTTTAATTAGTACAATACGACATATAACGAGCCCTTAAAAGAATCGGGGTTTTCTCTTTTTCATTTTTATTTATGGAGTCATTTTAATCATTAGAAGTGAAACCTTAAATATTGTTTGAATAACTAATTTATGTCAATCCAAAAATTATTACCATAATAAATAATAATTCAAGGTTACTAAATTAACCATATATATATATATATATATACTTAATTAAAAAAGTAAACAAAAAAAGATATGTGTCAGCTCCATAATGAAAATTTTCCTGCAAAAGATTTTTTTAGTACAAATGAAAACTAACACGTGACACTCTAAAATTTAAGAAAAAAGGAAGGTTTAAACAAACCCCGAAGTCACGTCTAATTTAAAAATATATATATACCAGCTAACCATAAAAATCTTGCTTCCTAACGTCATGTTAATCTAATCCGGAGATCAAGCCTCTTAAATCTGGCATTTTAATTTCACAATCAAATTTTAAATCCTTAAAATCAATCTCAATTATCTCCTCGCCACATCTTTCTCAGATATATTAGCAACTGAATATGCCGCAACACAAATTTTAAGAATCTGACCAAGAAACAGAGGCAGCACCGGTTGATTCCTCCTTTACATCAAGACCAAGAATCGAAAGATCCAGCTGAGGTGTAAGGAGGAATTTGGTGCATCAACAACTACTACTGCATAGCTGAACAAGACTATAGGTAATATCTGGTGAAATTTGTTTTTATAGTTGGAATTAGTTTTTATAGAGTATGTTGAAAGAGTTTCATTTGCCTATCATTGAATTTTTTAATCAATAATGTTTACCTAAAAAGTCAATTCTCTTTAATTGATTGATGATTTGATGATTTTTTTTCATTGATTCAAAGAAAATAAAATAAGATAGAAGACAACGGGGTGCAGTTTAGTGGTAAGACGCCTCACCTGTTGACCAATAGGTCACATGTTCGAGTCACACCGGAAGTAGGTGAGAAACTATTATTGATCCCTTTTAAAAGAAAAAAGAAAAAAAAAAGATAGAAATAAATATACAGGGTAGCTCCGCCAAATAGCTCGGATTTAGACGGTTTTGCCGCAATGCAAGATAAGTTGGGACTTATCATTTTTCAAAAGGCTGTAATAAGGAAAATGGGTCTTTTCATCCCAAAGTTTAGGCCACACTATCCAAAACATCCCAAAGTTTAAGAACATGCCATTTACATCCCAAACTTTTTAAAAACATGTTACATTAGGATATTCGTTAAATTTTTAACTCCAATTAATTAATTAGTGGTGGTACTTTATTATGTTTCTCCTCCCTCAATTCTTTTAATCATTTAACACGTTCCACTAACTCTCACCTTCTAAGAAAATAGCTAAACCTAATTTGGTCTTCACATCATCCATTCTTCCCTTGCTTAGAAAAAGAAAAAAAAAAAAAATCCAAGATTCACCTTCTAGATTGATAACAATCATGAGAGGTTTTGTGTGTGTCCTAATTTGAAAGTAAGCCTTATTTCATTTATTTTTTTAAATATGTAGCGTCATTATAAAAATTAGTGTTGTAATTGATGCAGGGGCATGCAACGTTTTTGCTTGGTATGGACCAAATTTACCAAACGCAACCATGAAACTTTTTTGACTAAAAAAAAATAGGGGAAAAAAACTGAATGAAATATCGCCGTTAATAACTTGAAAAAATTAACAAATGTCCTAATATTACATATTTTTGAAAAGTTTGGGATGAAAATGGCATGCTTTTAAACTTTGGGATATTTTAGATGGTGTGGCTCAAACCTTGGGATGAAAAGGCCCATTCTCCCGGCTGCAATATTACTTTTAATTTTCTTTCATAACTTCAATCTTTAGGTTTCTGTTCAAGTGTGCTTTTAAGACAATATTAATTGCAAGCTGAAAACTTTGTTCTATAGAATTATTAGATTGAGTTTTGGTTGTTTTCTGGAGGATGTACTCACATTTATGGTTCGTAGACTGATTGTTTTGAGGGTTTCGG